CCTTTAAAAAAACCTGTGCCGGGTACCTTGATGGTCTCGATGAGAAGGGGGAGGTGCTGCCCTCTCTTGAAGGAAGTACGTGTTCTCCTCGCAACCTCGGTATGCGGGATGACTGATGAATCATTTTACGCAAAGAAACGAATACATCCCAGTTAAATCAACTTTTATTTTAATTCAGAAAGTTGAGTCTCGCCAGCCTGGTCACCCAACAGCGTGCTTGCTATTTATGAACATTGCATAATGGTCAGGGTGTGTGAGGATCCCGGCCACGTTCTGGCCAGCAGTACGCCTCGGAAAGGTAAAACGTAAAAGGTTAAAACAACGAGCCTACATTTACCCTACCTTTTACCCTTACCCCATACAAATGCCCCGATTACAGGGTAATTACTGGGGTACTACTCATGAACAAGGTTTATAACAGGTAAATGCTAGGTAGAGCGCTTTATTCATTCATATAAATAAGAGAAATTTGTGAATGTGTGTCTGTTCAAAATGTTTAGCGTACTTCCCGACATGCAACAAACTTGAAATTTGCCATGTGGGTACTTTCCAGACTGTACACCATGCAAAAATTATAAAAATAGACTTTTGTGTACTTTTTTTGGGGGGGCGGGGGGGGCGCAATAATGCACCCCCCACCCTCTGCGTGTGCCGTGCATTAATCCAAGACAAGAATCCAAGTCCCGGGCGAAGCCGGGTAGTAAAGCTAGTGTAGAATACTCTCGATGATTCCAATTTTAAATGGAGGCCATGGACTGCGCCACAGAGCTTTTAGCGAGCGGTAATCAAGGTATTTACCGGGTAATACTTCACGCTACCTTTACGCTATCCGGTAATTTTCCGCGCTACATTTACCCTACCCTTTACCTTACCCTTTGGCATGTCGACACCTTTACCCTTTTACCCGGTAAACATGGTAAATACCTTACCTTGCCTAGGTCTACCAGCAGGCAATCCAGCATCACTTTAAAACTTTGACTAAACAATTTTTATTTATTTAATTTTACAAGGTAAGGCCCACTGCACTCCATAGCTCTTTTCCAGAAGCGACTTGGCCACAAATGATAGCTCAACGAAGTGGCTAATCACGTGGACATTTGTGGCAGCCAGAAACAAAGCAGCCAAATAAACTCGAAAGGTAACAGAGCGAGACACTGAACTCACTCTTTACGTGCTCCTGGCATGCTGGACTGAGTGAGATCTCTGTTAGTCGCCACTAGAGCCAATTCTCATGAAAGCGCTGCCTCGGAGTTTGAATGCTACAACGACCGCATCAGTAGCCAAATGCAAATTCCGATTTCTCGTGAGCGAAGGCCTTCAACTTGTACTCACTCGTATTGGTTTCTTTAGCTGAAGTGCAGTGACTGCTGGTGTGTGTGTGGTCAGGGTTGACGAAGCTGTTTTCTACCCAATGGGAGCCTACACCCCCGCGTCGTGTTTGCGCGTTCATTTAGTGTGACCTTGTTTTTTCGTAGCCTTTAAATGATATCTATGACCATTCAGAAAAAAGCATTACAACAATGAGCAATGTTATTCAGGCTGTGTAAACTGGTTTTGCTAAACAAGGGCATGATGTCTTATACAATTAAGGGCAGAAACACTTCTGTAAATCGAGCAGGGCCACTAAATAATTCAACCAGTATTGTGCAGTAATGCATTCCATTAGCATTGCCTTACCTCCTATAGGGAGTAACGGTGACCTAAATGCTCGAGGATATAGGAAAGACCTTGGCTAGACAGCGGGTGCCGGAATGCACAGGGCATTGTTGATTTTGCTGCTGCACTAGATTGTGGTGACACCTTTGAGTGTCCCTTGAAATCTCTGTCCCCAAAAAGTGATTTTATGTGCGGATGTTGTTCGTAACCTTATTCACCTGTGACTTAATGCTTAGTTACGTTTTAATGTTGGCCCATTGATGAACGTAAACTATATTATTTAACATTTGATTAATAATTGACTGGCAATTACCTCGTGAACTCTAATGAACTTCATGGGAGTTACAGTCATCAGAGGTTATTAGAGTTAGATCCAGTAAAATTAGTCGGCTGTAGTACAAATTTGAATGATTTTTATTTTTGTATTTTAAGAATTTTCATTTTAATACTGCACAGTTTCGGAGTAAACTACAACATAGTTCTCAAACCATGACATGCCATATTCATCTTTGGAATCATTATCTTGGCAATTAATTTTTTCAAATATTCAAACAGTTGCTCTTTCATTGCTTGGCTATAACAGTAGGTATTTAGTTAAATGTGATCGGAGGTAAATATCCATGGAGGAAATAAAATTTGCTGCATTTTATCGCTCAGGAACAGTGGCGAGGGTAGATATATATGTGTGTATGTGCGATATGCAGCAGTGTCAAATTGCGTAAGCAATAACAAGTCGAGAGAAGAAACTTTGCAATTCATAAGCGTTGGAATTTATAATTCATTATATACGTAACAAACTTTTAAGAATTTTTTTTTATTGTTTTCAAAACAAGTGCATTTTATCCTGGAGATCAAAAAGCGACTGAACTCCAGTGCCATTTGGAAGAACAGCTTGCGGGCACTGGGGTTGCGCTTTGAAAGAGCTGTGCGCTCCGGAATCCCGTGGCTTTGTAGGTAAAGGGCACACGGGCTGCAGTTTTATGGCTCTGAAATCTCGTCCCTCGGGGCATCCATCAACTGGGACAATCATTTGGAAGGGTTTCTCCTAAAAAAATCCTTCACTTCTGACCAATGTCAGACTTTAAAAAAAAACAATTGTAAGGTTAGTGGCTACTGTGTATGGAAGTTCAAAGAAAATTTACGATTTGCAGCTGTTGAATAACTGTTTGGCATCGTTCACATTGGCTGGTTGTTCTAAATGTGTGGACATGTCTATGGGTCGTAAAAAATGTACATTGTGTTTGTATATAAACATATAGAGTACTGTACTGTGTTCGGTAATATAGAAAAAATAAGGTATTAGGAATGAGATAGTCAACTGATCCTCAGGGGAAGACCCTGCTATTCCAAATGGTCAATAAAAACGACATATGTGACACCAGTGCACCATAATCACATTATCAAAACATATGCACGATGCTTAAAAGTATGCCTCTAGTTGAATTTAAAAAATCGATTTTATAGCATCTACAGTACATACAGAACGATTTCAATACATTTGTTTAATTCAACTTGTTTAATGTATATTTACTATCTTTACACTCTCCATTCTCCATGCCTATATACTGAAAAGACAGCTTGGAATCTGATGGTTTCACATCTCTGAAGCTGCACACGTTTGTAATTTTCTCTGCTTGTGTTGGGATTCGAAAACACGAGGCCAGATGCGACACTGGGTGCACGTGACACAAGATGAGCGGTGCGCCCCTCTCATCTGGAGCTCAGCCACCAACCCAGCACTGGGCCACAGTGCCACACCACCACACACTTCAAACTAACGTATTGGCGGTACACTGGTGCACGGTATTAAAGAAAAACGCAAAAATTACTTATTTTTATTAATTTTCCCACGATTCGCAACCCCGATCAGAAAATCTTGCGGGGTGCGTGAAAATCAGTTTACGTGATCTCGAAGCAGTCGGAAGACGAATGTTATGTGCAGCTGAACACAAAGCTTCACAGTCTGTTGCAGTATAGCAGCACCCAGCCTGATGACCATTGGCTGCTCTGTGTTTTGACTCGTGCCCTAGACATGAACAATTCTGCCTATATTAGAAAACCTTGTCCTTCAGTAGCATGTGGTTGTTCACGAGAGATTTCTATTTTGACCTCATTGTTACCATTACAATAACCCAAACCTATCGATCACAATGCTCTACTTGCCATACTATCCATCGGCGGTTCAAGATGACAACGAATACGATGTCACAGTCTCCACATCAGACTCGTAAGGCAGCGTAGGAAAGCTGCTGCTGTTGCTCCAAGTGCTCGACCTCCTGGTCAGCCCATAAAATCGCGTGCCACGGACCCAAATCAATGGGTCAATATTGACGTTTTTGTTTGTTTTAGCAAGTCTCGGTAAACTTGATAAACCTTCGGATCGCGTCAAATTTGGCAACAGATTCAATTAAAGACTGATACACAGATTTTCTGATTCAAATTTCGATTTTAGACTGTTTTATGAGGACCAGTGTGTTATGCTGCACCGGAGTACCGCCAATAAGTCCACATACACATGGAGTTGCACGACTTATAAACCGTGAAGAGCACGGTACATGTTGAACCCAGTTGCTTTACAACCTCTGTTAAGACATTGGCTTTGCTACTGTTTAATTGGTAGAGATGCTGCGGTGTTGCTTGTAGCAGAGGTAGCAAACGGGTTTTGATTCCTTACCCGTACCCGTTCCCTACCCGTACCCTACCCGAAATGAGTGGCGAACGGTTACTCACCAGTGACTCACGGCCTACCCGTACCCGTACCCGGCCGCACCAGGGTCGCAAACGGCTACCCGTACCCGGCTGGTTACGGGTAGCCGGGTAGGGTACGGGTATCGGGTACCCGGTTGCGACCTCTGGCTTATAGTGACGAATTATGAGCTGTTAAATCAGCTGATCTTTTTAGGCAGTTGGCCAGAGCGTCGCAGAGACACCGGAGATGGCCTTTAGCGAGCAGCCCTCGTTGCGTCAATGGGAAACCGACAGAACGGGGAGTTTCTGCGGCAGGAAATTGGCCCCATAGCCGGCAACATTACATACTGCTCATGTTTTCCGTATTGACAGAATCAATGGTGTTGTTTATCGCTTCAGCCTTTGGGGGGGGGGCGGGGTGGGGAGATGGAAGTGGGCCGATGGTTTATTTTGTTTGACAGCAATTGAAGTGTCTTACTTACTCAGGGAGGTGTAGGATAGAGCTCTTCCTGCCCCCAACATCAGCCCAAATAGCCAATGAAGACAGCCTGGGCAGTGCAGCCCAGCACATCCCACCCACGAAGGTCACAAATAAGCCATGACCACTACATTCATCACGCAAAGTGAATTCAATATTTATCGTTCAATATATTAGTACGGTAGGTCAGTGCCAGATTATCCTAGTAGCAGAAGCAGCATATGCTACGGGCTCCGCACTTTCAAGGGCCCCGCGCTAAATGCTTTCGAGCTATCAATTCCGGTTCAGTGATTCTGCACTTGCTCTATTACTATAGTACTGTACCGCCTTCAACTTTTATGAACGACTGGGTGTTTCAGGTTAGCGATTTGTCATTATCTGGCTGTACAGCAAATAAAAAAATACAATTCCTTTACTATGCAAGTTAACAATTAGTGTTATATTTACGTGTTATTTTTTATAACATGTGCTACAAAGCTTAATCTGGCACTGCGGTCGGTATTAGCTCATATTCACAGCAGTGTATGCCACATTTTCCTAACGACAGAAAGTAATGTGTAAATATAGATAAATAGACAATGCGTCAGCCATAGACACATCGAAAATAATATTTTTATTTGTTTTACAGTGTTGCTTAAAAGTGTTTGAATACCATACAGTTTTTTCATATTTGGTGCTGTTAACATTCTAACACAGCAAACATTCGAAATGGATTAATTAGCTGATGAAGGCTGGCAGAAGTGTTTTGGTTTCGTGGTCCTTTTAAATAAATATTTGTGGTTAAGCACAAGCACTGCCGAGGCATCGGGAGGGTGTTCACTGCATGAGAGATATGTGCACTGTAGGGTCAACACCGTAGGGTCAACACCGTAGTGTTGACCCTACAGAAACACGTGTGTGTTGGTGTACATAATGCATAGGATGATGCCATTTACTGTAGTGAATGGGTATAATCAAGTGAATGTCTCGTAATGTTTAGCAAACGTGGGATTTCTTTAAAGCGATATTTGTAACCGAGTGCTGCAAGTGACCGTATGCTACACTGCATTTAAACATTTACAAGTCGTTTGCACACAATGCCTAACACGTGGGATTATTTAATTGAGTAAAAACATGCCTATTTAGCATTGACAAATATTATTCAAGAAAAGTGTTCCACTGTGTCATAAAAAAAGCATAATTTCTTTGAGAGCACATGTTGTTGTTTTTTTTAAGAAAAAACCTGGAGCCATGCCTTGTGGCGGTCACACATGGTGCGCTCTCCACTTCGACTCCCCACAATTAGCCAGAGCGTACCAGGGCTGGGCCTGGCGTCGCTACTTCCTCAGTAGCCAGCGGCAACGACTTTTTGTTTCATCTGCTCGATGTGACTTTAACGAGCTGCGGTGGGGGGGGAGGTAGAAAGTCTCATTTGTGCTGAGCACGTGGAGCGGTGGGGCTGCCGTTGTGTCACAACAACGCAGTCGTTCAGGGTCGACGGAGAAGGCGCAGCAACGATGATGCGGCGGCAGCGATGGCAACATCAGGGCTAAGGAGGTGCCACGTCAAGAGTCACCGGTGAACATCCGACGACAAAGAACCCAGGGAACGCGCCCTCAGCGCCGGCAGCAGAGAGCTCTTGACACAAGAAACCTCTCGAGGGCGAAGAGCGGCTTCACTCAAGTTGAATGGCACATTGGCAAAGCGACAGGATCATAGACAGAGGCCTGTACGGCAGCAGAGCACCGAGTTGTGATATTACAAAGCACGAGCAAAATAACAAACAACAGCATCAGCAGCATATTTGATGGCATATACAAACACGGCAGCAATCTACACGGCAGAAAGTGGCTCAATTATTGTGTTTTCATTGTGTCTTTATTTTATTTCAACCTGGGGTGCCCTTCATGGGAGTGCGAGACATGCCAGATTGTTTTAGAAGGTAAATAATCGAAACACAAATTAAACACGGGCACGTATGTACAACTACTTTGTTTCATCAAACCTTTGTATTTACTAACATTTTTTTTTGCGATTGAGAACCAAAGGGGTGCAAGGCTGCAGTAGAGGTTAAGAATCACTGGTTTAATGGATCCTTAAAACACAAATGCATAAGTGTCACGATACGTATAAAATATAACTTTATTTTCACTTTCACTAGCTTCCAAACTCTTCTTCGAGGAGAAACATCATCTTACAAAGGTATCAAAGGCACCACGGCACAAAACATTCGATTCTACAAAAAAATAGAGGATTTATTTTTTGAACATCGCATTGCATAAAATGTGCACGGCATAAATGCACTCAGCCCTGGATCGATAATATCGCTTCATGAGGACATCACGTCATTTTCAAACAACAAGGGCGTTTTATTTAAATGATTGCATTGTAACAAACTCTATTGTCAAATACATAGAAAAAAGTTCCAATGGAATTTTCATTTCCTTCAGAAAACGTCTCAAATAATGTGCTGTTAAAACAATGCCATATGCTAAGTAAAAAGAGCTTACAATTTCTCGTAAAATTGAATACTGAATAAAATATCAGATTCCAGAAAACGTTACAATATAACATTTTCAGATGTCAAAGTGAAACCTTGAAACACCAACAGCTCTTGTACATATTTCAATGCAAGTCATGTCGAAGCACAACACATACACCATATTTTAAATATTCAGATTGAAATGTTTCATTTGTAAAAATGAAACTCAACACAGCTATGACCGAAGGTTTAATTAAAATGATATGAGCACTATGCATCGTCTTCTTTTCCCTGTCTAAATCAACCTTTCATGAACTTCTCATCTTTAGAGCTTTTGAAAGCCGAGCATTCACTGCTCACGGTGCAGTCATCGAATATTGTTAAATGCTGTGATCGGCTTCAGAAGCTTCATCTCCAGCTTAGCGCTACTCGGATTGTCAGGAATTGCCACCTCCTACAGCGTCTGCACTTGTCCGTGTGCCGCCGACAATCCTTGTCGCGGACGTGGGCCCACTCACGTGATGGTGCAGCAGCGGCAACGCGTCGAGCGCTTGCATTTTTTCCTCTGCAGAATGGTCAGGATGGCCTCGTCAAACACAGCCTTGAGCCCCTTCTGAGTGAGCGCCGAGCACTCCAAGTAGCAGTGCGCACCTATCTGAAGGATGAAAATTAAGCAAGAGTTAGGCTGCAATCATTCCCGTTAACTGCCTTAAGGCAAACCCCCCCCCACCTCCTACGCATTCCACAAGTAGTGACTAATCCCATATCTGCATTTCCCATAAATATGCTAAATTTATCTTGATATGCAAATTCCTTTTTCAAGGCGCCCCTTCTCCCCTCCAACCCAGCTTAAATATACGCTGCCAAGCGTGGTGGTGCCCATTCAGATGCTGTCTTTCCGACAGACCTGTTCTTCACCTGAGGACGGCTGCTTGCGTTGTGGCCGAAACGTCGTGAGAATTATTTTATTATGTTTTATTTTTATAATTTTATTATTTCCCTTCTACGTGACTTTACCGAAAGAACCAAGAAGATGCCTTAAGGCAGCGGTGGAAAATCCACATTCCTGTGGCAGGGGGATGAATGTATCCATACGACAACCACTGCTACCTTCCCATCAAGTGGTGAGATGAACCAAGGGGTGATTCCAATCATTTTTACATGACCCTTAAAATGGAATCCGACTACATCCGCAATGAGAGCACGCTATCGATCCCTACCATATCCCCCATATCACTGGGCAGCAGTGTTGCCGCGGTGAAGGGCACGGTAATGCCTCTTGAGATTGTATCATTCCCCAGCACAGCAGCGTCCTCTGTGCGCGTACCTGCTTTGCGAGCTTCACTCCTTGTTGGTGAGTCATAGGCTTCTCCTTCAGCTCTTTGAGTCTCATGAGGGTTTTGGTTGCATCTCGCAGATCAATCTGAAGGCATCGTTTACAAAAAAACGGCTATGTGAAACGCTGCGTAGATATGGATTGTGACAAAGTTTAAGGAATGCCTCTGATTTGCACACAAAAATGCAGTTAACCATTAAACATCTTTACAAACAAACGTTAGATAGTCACATACATTTGTATGGTCTTAATTCACTTAAGGCTAATCACTCTTTTCCAAAAATATGCTGTTGTAGCGGTGTATAATTATAGACACAATTTTCCCTGTGTGGCGGGATAATACGTGAGCAGGCCGGCTTCGTGTGTTCAAGTTCAAGTTCATTTATTAGGTATAGCCCTGTGAGCCTTTCGGCTCTTGAATCGGGTGCAACCGCAACAAACAAAAAAATGAACAAAAAACATCTTAAAGTGAATATGTGACTGAGTGCAAACAGAAAATCCAAGAAAAGACAGTAAAATATTGCAGAAAAAGCACCGTACACAAAAATGTGCAAAAATCCCAGTGGGATGCAAGTCAAACAACAACAACAATCACAAGACAACTTAGATTAAGCCATCAGTCTAACTCTGTACTACAACAAACAAACATGGCCAATCCAAAAAACTTTTCGAAAATCACCAAAATAAAGTGGCGAGCTGCACTCGCGAGCTTTGTCTCTGCGTCTCGTTGGCTTCGTGCCCAGGACTTGCCTGCGTGCCGACCAGGAGGTATGGCACGTCTGGACAACAGGCCCTCAGCTCTGGGACCCACTCCTCCTTGACGTTGTGGTAGGAGGCCGGGTTCACCACTGAGAAGCAGATCATGAACATGTCCGTGTTTGGGTACGAGAGAGGCCGGAGCTGGTGATAGTCCTCCTGCACGCGGAGACCACGAAGCAAGTGTGGGTTATGAACTGCCTGGTGCCTTGTGTTTTAGTTTTGTCAGGACGTGTACTCCAGCAAAGGTCAATGTGCAGCCCTGTAATTGCTTGTTCATGCCACTGCTGGAAAAAGAAAGGACTCGAATAGGGGGAGCTTTAGTTGAGCACCTCCCTCAAGGGTTTGTGGCATACTCTTCCATGCTGGGCTGACGTCTTGAAAGAGGTGAGAGTATTCACGACTTATCCTAGCACACGTACCCTGTTAATCGACTAACTCTGCAACAATCAGTAGCATTCAAATGATTCTCATTGCTACAAAAACATATATAACATTTACAAATGGAATAAAGAATGTGTTCACCATATGTCTCAGAATGACAGTATGAGTTTGTTAAATTCAAAGCTTTCGTGACTGCAGGAATTACTCTGGTTCTTTCGGTAAAGTAACGTAGAAAGAAATTAAATTAAAATAATAATTATTAGAAATAAAGGGGAAAATATATATAAATATTTAATTTTTCCCAATTAAATAATGATCCCAATAATTATTTTATTCAATTTCTTTCTACGTGACTTTACCGAAAGAACCAAAGAGTATGAGTTTGTTTGTATTTCATATTTCAATTTTCTAATATGAAATAAAAGGTCACACATTTAAAGTTTTAACAGTGAAAGCAGTAGCAACGTTTTTATGTGTATATATAGCCATTAAGATGTTAAATTATACCTGTCTCTGCGGATATTTATTTCAAAAGAATGAATCATGCCTGCACATGTATTAAATCCTGCCAATATTTTTTGTGCGAAAATGGCATTTGGCAATTTTGCAAATGGCATAGCACCATATAACAAATACCTCCGCGGCAAATATTAACGTCCGGGTTTGCAAATATTTTACAGATGAAAAACAAATCTGAGAATTTTTTTTTTAACAGGTGGTGAACGACAGTGGGAGGGGGGGGGGGCGGTGCAGCGGGTGGGCGGGCGGGCGGTGCGGCACATGGGCATGCGGTCTTGGGGCTGTGCGTAATTGGCCGGGGCCCCCTCTCGTCCGTGCCAAGCTATGAATAGCACACATTGTGTCTGCCGCCGCCGCCACGTCACACGCTCTTCTCGGGAAGTCGAGCGAGCAGCGGAGGAATTCCGGCAGCCCCACCCCCCTCCTCCTCATCCTCCCTCTCTCTCTCTCACCCCCAGTGCAGTTCGTGGCACGGCGTGCTTACGTATTGAGACCGGCAATTCCTCGAGGAGCCCGCTACGAGTCATCTGCCGTACCCACCTGTCCCGCCGTGTCATAGAGAGCCAGGAGATAGCAACTTCCACCAACTTTCACATTCACTGCGGAGAGAAACGCGAACTTTACAATCCAGTAGTGAAGGTGATTTGCATCGATGAGCAGTGACATATGCCTCTGTGCCCTCGTCTTTCACGCGGTCTTATGTGTGTTTGTAAATAACCAAATGAATATCCATCAATCCTAATTTCATCGACAGGTCTTCTTGTGAGCATTGCGGTGTGAGAATCATCATTAACGGCCTCCGATAGATGATCGACGGTCGATCGGGACGCGAGATTATTTTGGTTACAGCGAGCAGTGCCCTTTTCAATATTTTAATCCTCGATTTGCCAATCGATCACCCGTGGCAAGTGAGCGTGAGTTGGCACTCTGGGTGTAATTGCTGTTGGTGCATGGAGCAATTTGTGACGGTATAGCAATGACTACGACAAGGGTGAGGGAAAGCTGCCCAGGAATCTCGCACGTCACGATGCCCCAAACGCAATTTTTTTTTTGCCATTTTGAAACAAAAATGTGTTATATTCTTGGTTCTTTCGGTAAAGTCACGTAGAAGGGAAATAATAAAATAATATAAATATAAAACAATAAAAAAATTCTCACGACGTTTCGACTGAAACACAAGCAATCATCTTCAGGTGTGAAAACCACAGCAATAAAATTTGAAAAAAGTGGCGGTTTTTCCTAAACGTCGTGAGAATTTTTATTGTTTTATATTTATATTATCTTATTATTTCCCTTCTACGTGACTTTACCGAAAGAACCAAGAATATGAATCCCTGCCGTCACGAAAGCTTTAAATATAAAAATGTGTTACTTTATAAGTCCTGTATACAACTGTACTTTCTTCATATTCTGGCAAATCGCCAGATGATGCTGGATGTAATTACCAGCGAAACGTCGTACTCACATTGTAAATGTTGTGGATTCACTCTCCAACACACCGGCGTTTTGTTTACGTGACAAATCCATTACTAATTGGCTGTGCCGGGTGGTGGAGGGTTACGACACATTCATACTTACGCGATCTAACCCAAAAAACTTTTTTGTGAAAAATATTGGTCGCGAAATCCTACGTGTTAAAGCGAACTGTCTTTTCTGTTTTGTTTAACGCTTTCGCAGGCGTGACGGGTTGTCAAGGGTGCGATAATTTCTAAATATGTATTCGGTGTAGAAATTGCCATTGGGCTCGAAAGTGGGAGCAGAACGACGTCTCAGCTCCCTGGCGATTCTATGAATCACATCAAAGTGTGGGTGACCATTAGAATATTGCATGGGGGGATATTTTTACGTAATCCTTTTGTAATCTATTCGAGTCAATTCATGATTATTCGTGTTCAATGTATGTGTACGACACCATTAATCAGGCCAATGTAGAACACAAATACGTTGCAATCCCCTTTGAATTAGAGAGACAGCAATATTTTTTTTCATTTCAGCAATTAACATAAAGCACTCACTACACATCGGCCGACCGTCTTCCTGTGTCGCCCTCTCGTTTGCATTGAGGGGAGCATACAGCCGTCGTGTGTGCTCCCGTGTCTGTCATGTCTCGCGTGTACCTTCTTGTGCAATATATTTTATCTCGTCTCTGCTGTATGTGCCGCTTGTTTTGTACAATCTTGTGCACTGTTCTGTCTGCCGTGATTACTTTCACGTACGGCGTTGTATTCTTTGTGCTATCTCGTCTGTCCTGTTTTTTTTACGTTTCGTTCATCAATATATTTTTAATCTCGTGTTGTGCGTCTCGTTCTCTCCATCACCTTGCGAGCCTCCCTGTGCTGTGTCAGGAAGCTCATTAGCGTGTAATTAACATATTCTTAGTGTTGCGAGTCATTGTTATTTACATTATTTGGTGATGTTACGTGGCGCAGAAGCACAATTAATACAAACAACATTAAGTCGCCACGTTCGTCAATAACACTGCCTTTAAAATTATATATAATAGGAGAAGTTTCGGGCAATGGCCCTCCTTTATATACTATGAAGAAGGGGCAGTCACATGAAACGTTGCTTATTATATGTATACATATATTTCTTTAAGGCAATGTTGTTAACGAATGTGTTGAGTTTAAAATATATATTATTATTATTTACATTATTTGATGACGATTTTACCGGGAGGTGTGCTGCTATTCGAGGAGTGAGACTCAGCAAAACGTTGAGCAACGCTGTGTTAAATTAAACTGTGGCTGACATACGTTTAGCAATTAAGAATACCATTATATACATTGTTTATAATATTTATTTTAGGATGTATAGTGTGCTAAATAGCTTAAGGTATGTAATTTGCATCTGTGGTAAATCTGATTTGTGAGTTATTTAATGGAATTTAATTTAGAAACGACGTTTAAGCAATATTTTTTTATGATTTTGTGTGTGTAGGAAGCATGAGAGAAAACATTAATTAAAGCAGTGTGTTCAATATCTACAAATAATCACGGTTAGACTTGAATGACATCATCCATAGAAAATCAACTCAACACACCCGTTAACAACAATGCCTTAATAGGAAATATATACAATTGGCGACGTTTCAGGCAACGATCTCTCCGTCCTTCTTCATAGCACATCCATAGAATGTTGTTCCAACCAAATCGTTATACCCCATTTCCATTTGTAATGCACGTGATCCCATAAATCATGATATACACACAATCACGTTACGCTTTGATGAGCTTTCGCGTTATAGGATCCGCAATATCCCGTCGTTGGTAGGGCTCATTTGATGGTAATGATGACATTATTACCATCACATTTACACGTATTATGCTGGGGTTTTTTAAATACCAAGCTTAAGGACGGGATGGACAAGATCGTACAATCCACAATGATGATGATGCATTCACGGTAACTAAGAACATACTGTACATTCGAAGTAAATGCCTGTGATATATATTTTTAAAGGTTTTCCAACAAATACATTTTTGTTTAAAACTCGTGCATCAACAAATCACAATGGGATCACTCGGGCGTCGTGAGGACACCGCGTGTCCGCGAGGAACTTGAGATGACGACACGTCGTGCTCGGGACTCCCCTTGGGAGAACACGAAGCCACCAGACCCCAATTAAAGAGACGGCGGCCGATTCAGCGCACGACAACTCGCTCACCGTGCAGGTCGCGCGTGTCTGCGCGAACGCCACGGCAACGCGGGTGATGACGACGCGGACCAGGCGATTCTACGTGCACGACTGCACAATGGGACAGGTGACTATACAGGGGGTGGTGATTTTGGGGCTTTGGGCGATTCCAAGCGACCAGACGACCATTCCCCACGGGCGAGGAGCTCGTCCAAGTGTCAGGCTGGACGCCGTTCTAGTGGCCGTACCTGCGTAGTGGTCGAACACGGTTGGCACGTACTGTTCCGGGAAGGCGTCGTTGGCGTAGCTCATGATGAGGCACGTCTTGCCCACGGCCCCGTCTCCCACCACCACGCACTTGAGCAGCTCGGGCGAGCGCTGAGCGACCCCCGTGGACCCTGCCTCGACGATTCCCCCGCCCGGGCCCCCCTCGCCCTCGTCCGACTGTCGGAGGCGGATGAGGCTGCGCGCGTCCGCCCTCCTCGCCATTGACCTCCCCAACCCACCCGGCAGAGGAGGGGGGGGGGGCGCTCCGAACCAAGCCGAAGCGAAGTGGATCGGGACGCGATGCACTCGGCGGTCCACCCTTTTCCTGCCCGGCTTCTCCACGGAGGGGACCTCGGGCGAGCGCGGTGGAGCGCGGCGACTTTTTACGCAGAGCGCGGTTTGTCCCCGCACGGGACTCCCCGCTCCCCCTCCAGGCGCATCATCGTGAGAGTTGCGTTCTCGCCGGGGTGTCGAGCAGCAGCGCGGAGAGCCCACGGGGTGAGCAGAGCGAGGGGACCTCTCGCTTGGAGTGCGCCGGCTCGGGGGGGCGGGGGGTGGCACCGGCTCGGCCAGGAGAGTGCAGAGCCCCTCGCTGTGGATGCCAGACGGCACTCTCGTCGGAGGATTGGGGAAAGGATCTGACCGCGTGAGAGTAAAGAACTCTCTCTCTCTCTCGCTCGGTGTGGGAGAGAGACGAATCCCTCTCGCTCGCTCCCTCGTCGCAGGAAGCCGAATTGCCCAGCCCCGAGCGAGGAGGAGCAACAGGGGAGGCCGTGACCCCGCGAGTCGCGGCACGGCGCCACAGCCGCGCCCGGACACAGCTACTCCCCTCTCGTGCCCCTCCCTGCTCGCCCCTCATCCTCCTCTCTACTGCTGCTCCTGTGCTCCTCCCTGCACCCTTTCCTCCCTGCTTCCTCCTACTGCTTCTTGCTCCCTCCTCGCGACTGCCCGTGTAGCCCCCCCCCCCCCCCCCCCCGTGAGGCAAGGCAAGTTCAACGGTGCCCAACGCGCCGGTTAACATATCAGGACGATAACAACGAACAGGGAGAGAAGGTGTGCGTCATCGTGGCTCATCGGTTCGTCTAAATTCTTCATTCATCGAGGTGACAACCCACGGAGGGCGCCATTCTCTTTCGCGAGGGAGACCTGGGACCACAGGGGGGGGGGGGGGGCAGCAAGAGAGGATTTCTGCAGCTTTTCTTTCCCGCTGTGAAACGACGGCGCGACTTCATCGGACAAGGGTGACAACATTGACGTGTGTTGGCGGGAGGGCTCGAGCCCAGTGCTTCTTCACCTTCACCGCAGCCTGCACCCCCCTCTGGTTCTCAGAAAGGGCATCTCGCACCCCCAGGGGGGTGCGTGCACCACAGGTTAGGGGCCGTCCATAAATGACGTCACGCGATTTTGGACGATTTTTGACCCCCCCCCTCTCGTCACACGGCGTCACAAAAAGTCAGACCCCCCCCCCTCAAATATGACGTCACAAAGCTCTGCCCCCCCCAAAAACATTTCCATTTTGAAAATATAACATGCTTCAAATCGCTTTAAACTATTGTCATTGTCGTGCGTATTTAATGTGGCGCTGCACTCTGATGTTGTAGGAGTGTTGTTATAACAATTCAATATTTATTTAAAGTTGCACATTTTGATGAGACGTCACATTTATCAACCCCCCCCTCCCCCTCGTCACACATCGCCACAAATGTCTGACTCCCCCCCCCCCCTAGGTGCGTGACGTCATTTATGGACGTCCCCTTAAGAACCACTGCTCTAACCTATAACACCCGGCAACATTTATCGAACAGACCACTCACTGCTCCTCCCTGCCGAGATGAGACTCGGAGAAGTTCAAACCGTTCCGGGGGTTTGGCTGCCGAAAACATTCTGCCGAAAAATATTGATACGCAAGGCTCACCGGCGCATGGAAGGTTACTTGACATTTCTACGTGGCGAGAGTTAAGTTGAGTCAGATGCCTATGTGTGTGTGTGTGTTTAATATTGTATTCCTTCGTATTTATTGGTGGAGAGGTTTAGGAGACTTCAGCTGAGTTGGTTGTGCGGGACCAAAAAAAAACTTCCGCCAACTCAGCCCCGAGAGTGCCGTTAGAGCAGCGAGAGAAGCTCCCGACATCCTGGTCACACTCACACATACGGGAGGCAATATCCTCTGCCCAAAATGTAAAACTAGTACTGTATTTAAACTCGTCGATGAAATAAAATGGGAGGGAAAGCTTAAAAGTGCTCGGTGAAGCATTTCGAGACAAATGGTTGAAATTGCACAGAAGGAGGGACACGTGGATCAGAGAACAAACGCAAATCAGAGACGAGGTATTGACAGTAAAACAAAAGTAAGTGGGCTTGTGCGGAACACGCCGTGGCTGGAATGCATGATGTTTCATGGACGACACAGGTGACAGAGTGGCAGTCAGAGGAGGCAACGCGCTTGAGAGGAGGACCGCGGCGGAGATGGAGCGATGAGCCAGATGGATTGAGGCGTCGTCGCAGGACCATGGCGGATTGCGACGGCGTACGAATGTGCGCCTTCCGTCAGGAGTGGATAGTCTGTGGCTGATGTACGTAGGTATGTTGAATATATTATTGGTTCTTTCGGTAAAGTCACGTAGAAGGGAAATAATAAAGTAATAAAAATAAAACATAATAATATGTTTATTTTATTTTATTATTTCCCTTCTACGTGACTTTACCGAATGAACCAATAATATGAATCCCTGCAGTCACGAAAGCTTTACATCGAAAAATATGTTGAAGATCTCTCGCACCGTATCGGAGGTGAGGGGGAAGAACAACAAACTAAACACAACAAGCGGTTCTAAATAAATCAGTTTTCAATCTAGTTGATTTAATAGTGCACAGCTTCAGTGGCTCCCTAATGTCGGAAGGAAGAGCGTTCCAGACGGCCGCAGAAGCGCCATGACCGAATTGAAACTCACGTGCCCAGGCTTAGCGTCACTTTAACCTGCGTGCTGTGCGCGTGCATGCGAAGCGAGGCTGCTACATCACTCCACGTAACATTGCGTGTGTGTACAACCCTAAGCCCGCAAGCTTCTTTGGTCGTCTCGGGAGACGGAGCGCAGCGGGCACAGACGGCACGGTACCGCCGCCCTGACACCGGCTCCGGTAACTCGAACCCTGCAACGCGCCTCCGCACAGGTCAGACGCACGCGTGCGTATCATGTTGTCAGGTATCGCGTTATCAGCCATTGCCCTTCAAGCTTCGGCTCTTTGTCTAAACACTGGTGGTCAGGAGGGAGGTAGGAGCTTTCGCGAGCTGCGATTGTGAGTTTGACTCCATTTTCGCTGTGCTGTGCCTAATGTATCAGGAGATGGCTTATTTCTTTCACATTCATCCACGCGACGAGTACTGGAATTGAACGAGCGCCGTTATTTTCAGACGTTAATTTTCGGATTAAATGTGCCGGTGATCACAGACATACGCCGATGACAAAATTAGTCTAATTGTGCCAGACCTCGGAGGCTAAGCAGGGTTGAGCATGGATAGTTCTGAGAAAGGTGGCCACCAGGGCTTGCCAGGGGTTGCAGACGGAGGCAGCACTGAACGTCACCCGTTCGTGTGCATGGTGGGGTTTCTTTTGGTATTCTGGTTTCATCCCACATGAAGCACAACTCAAACGAATGGAACTGACCAACCAACCCAATGCAGGACACCCCTCAAAACGGCATTGAGACTCAGTGAGGTGTTTATGGGTTAAATAATTGTCATTCCAAGCCACCCTTCTGGTTAGTGCATAAAAAGTCAATCAAGTATAGAATGGAACATAGTTGCGAACATCAATTCTGCCAATTGTGATATTCAGAAGAAAAATGCAATAACGTGGCTTTAAAATTGGGACTTCGTTGGACCCAGTACAGAAGCACAAATTAAAATATAACTCGACATTTTAGTCATTAACACTGCCCAATAACAGAGTGATACATAATGGGCTAAATATTTGGGGAATAGCATTTCTTCTAAAGTTTAAACGGGCTACACATGGTGGCCACGACGCTCACCTGCAATCCAGCAACTTGCAAGCGCGGTTGGTGAATCACACAGAACCCAATGAGCCACGCATCCGCAGTGAAACGAGATCCCATAAATAGCCAACACAGCAAGGAGGTTTTTGCTCACCTATGCGACCAGCTCCGTGGAACCGCGCACAAAGGTGAGTGAGCTCACGACCGGTGTGTGGGGGGGGGGCACCAGTGTGTCTGTATAGGACGAGGCTCACTATAGTAAGCCTGTAGCACTGAAATACTGGACGCGCAGCACGTGCTGGGCATTAGAAGCACAATGAACGCCGCCTGCACGATCGTGTGTGGATGCGAGGATCCGATAGCGCGTGGGTGGGCTCCGGCCCTTCCCGACTGAAACATGTGCCCCGTATCATTATAAATAGGGACAAGGGCGCGCGGCTCGGCTCAGTAAACAGTGTCGCGTTGCATCGGGGAACAACAAAGACAAATGTCCCCCGTATAGCCTCCACAGACTGTTGGGGCAAGTGCTGTTAGCGAGCAACAATGAGAGTCGGCACGGCACAGGAGGGAGTGGATGACCAGTACCACGCATTTGTCTCCCCAGGTTCGAAGTTTACACACGACACCAGGGTACTCAGTTGAGGCTGAGTCGATCTAGGAGAGGCCCATGAAACGGTCCAGATAATCGTCACTGGTGTTGGCTGTGAGTGGGAATTGAACTTGGTTCGTGTGTGTGTTTGTGGTTGGAGTTTGCGGGCACGCAGCCTGACCATGACCAGAGTGACATCGGCCTCAGTGTGGGGCTCGGCCCAGACACCCACCCCTCCCGGCTCCCCCCCCCCCACTGGCGAGCCCCCCCCCCATTCCACCACGTGTATTGAGGCCTATTATTGGCTTACGTCGTTCCATCGCGCCCAAGTTACGCACACCGTGTACACGAAAATAGCACGGTATTATATTTTTAAAGAGTATACGCTAATCGTAGTAGTAAAATTCATAGAACTGTCATTCTTTGTTATTCCAGGAAGGCCTCGTGACGGCACTGCTCGGGAACCTTTGGACGATTTCGCGTTTTTTTCGCGCGTGGGGGAAGGTTATGGAAGAACTTGGGGGGGGGGGGGAACCCCACGCAATGCGAGGAGAAAAAAACAACGCGACATTATAAAGATCTACTTGCTGTGCTGCATCCTGCAGTAACCACGTCGCTCCACATGCGGGCGTCTCACGGGCAACGCAGCCCCATCTCTGCGTGACGCATGCAGGTGGAATAATCGGTAATTACCGATTTTTTTAAAAATTGGAACACAAAAAGCACGGGTGCTGGGCTAGCACCAGGCAAGTTGTCATGAAAACTCGCATGGGCTGCATCCCACTGGGATTTTTGCACACAGCGTTGGTGTACGGTGTTTTTTCTGCAATATTTTGCCGTCTTTTCTTGGATTTTCTGTTTGCACTTAGTCACATATTCACTTTAAGATGTTTTCTTGTTCATGTTTTTGTTTTTTGTTTGTTGCGGTTGCACCTGATTCAAGAGCCGAATGGCTCATAGGGCTATACCTAATAAATTAACTTGAACTTGAAATGACCTTGAACTCCCCCTCCCATGTCTGGTGGAGAAAGCCGCAGCGAATTCCAGTTTTCTCCATGAAGCCACCTGCACGTATTGTCTTCCGAGACTGGAAAACCCCGGGGGCGAAATTCGTCTCTTCAACCTGGAGCCACGACGGGTTCCTGGGCACCGGTGTTGATTCTGGCCGTTGCTGGGTCATTGTTGGGTCAACAGAGCCTGCTTGCCAGTGCTCGTGGAAATGAGGCCATCGTGCG